CGGCAGGTGTGGCAGGAGGGTGAGCACACTCTGCAGAGGAGGACAGCATGGCTGCTGGCTTTCTCGCTTCTTGCTCTGCCTGAGCTCTCGGCACACTCCCAAGCGAGTTCATCACTTTCCTATGCTCCCTTTTCAGTGTGCTCACAGCCGGTGTGAGTGCTACCCTGTGACAGTAGCACTATCTGACAAGGGTGTAGAGTCCTGGCACTGAATTCCTCCCTATCCAAGAAAGGGGAAACCAAGTACCACCCTCACAGCAGGCGCCGAAGACCCTGAACAGCCAGATGGGAGAGGTGTCTGCTCTGAGTAAGAAAGCCTCTCTAGAACATGGTGACCATGGCTACACCCTGCAAGTATAATGCATATATACCCACAGGGAGCTCGAGAATCACCCCCTAGGAAAATACACAGTTGTTTTTCCTTTCTGTGGTAAGGGACAAAAAGTCATTTAATGGACAAATCCATCCCATTCCCTTTGAGCAGCTCGTCCCAGCTAGTGCTATCCAGCCGAGCTATGCGTGGAGAGGTGATGGCCAGAGTGAGACTGGATGGGAAAGAAGCTGTGGGCGGTCACATCAGGCAGCAGCAAGGAGGTGGCATTGCTAGATGGAGCTTCTCCAGCGTGGCCTGGGGAGGCAAAATGTGCACTTGGCCAAGGAGGGGTCAACCAGGCAGATTGCTGTGATGAAGGGCTCAGCTCCACACACAATGGAGCACAGAGGAACATTAACAGCAACACAGAGGGAAAATGATGGGTGGGGAACCGAGATAACCTAATCGCACAAACAGAGCACCGTGCCTAGACCCTCCCCTGTGCATGAGAGCAATCAGCCCCATTGTCTGGGTTGAAAACCATCACAATGAGTCAAGGGAAAGGCTCTCTAGATCATCTTACAGACTGATACTGCCTCTAGGGGGTATAGGACTCATTAGGGGATGCAGGCAAAGAGCATCTTGGGATTATACAAGACAAGGGATAGGGGAAGAAAAAAAGGTGGGGGAAGAGAGGAAACCAGTGT